AGATTGTTTATTTTCTATTCTTTGTAATTCTGTTCTCTGTATGTGTTATGTTATTGATTTATCTGTGAACCGAATGAAAAATGGCACAGTAAGAATAAATTTAAAAAAAAATGTAATATCGTGCTTTACATGTCAATCTCATAGAGATTGCACTAATAATTCTTTTTCAGCAATGACAAACAAAACAATTTAATATACGTTCGCTAAACTCTCACTATCTCAACTAGAAGATATAGTAAAAGATATCGAAAATTTTTCAACAAAGATCATCATAGTTTTGTTAAAAACAATATCTAAATAAAATTTGAACTATTTACTATATTATTTTACTATTCGATTAAATAATTATATTGAATAAAAATTAATTATGAAAAAATCAAGTATTATATTCTATTTTTACTTGTATAAAAAATAAACAATGCATTACATTATTAATCTATTCAACGTTCTAACAGACAATAATCATTATGTTAACAAAATAATTTTAAAATAAAACTAAACTTACAGTATTATGAACAATCGATAAATCATTGTGAATATAATCTATTTGAACAATGAATATAGTTAGTTGTTTAAGGTGACCATCAAGTAAATAAAGACAATCATCTAAACTATCTACATAGATACATAATTTTGTAAGATTCGAAGAGCAAATAATAGTTGATGGTAAATCAAGTATTGATAATGGTGGATAACTGTTTATGGATGACCCAACAATACTTAAAGACTGAAGATTTTTGAATAGAGTCAATATAGATTTATATGCATTTTTATTATATTTTTCTGATAATATTTCATCATCTACATAAGCAGAATTATCAGTATTTTCAAGAATAAGTTCTGTTATTTGACATTTGAAAATATGTTGAAGGATTGACTTATCTAGACAAAACAAAAAAGAAACAATCAGATTATATATATCTACTTAGTTTTATTCAAATGCTTCTATCTATCTTAATTTTTGTTTTTCCATATATGAATATTTACCTGTAAAATAATTTAAAGCGGAGTGTTTTCCGAAATTAAACAATGTGAGTGAAGTTAAATTTGGATAGTTGCCAGCAATAAGAATACGCTCCATAAACATTGGTTCAAGAATAAGATGTTTGACATTATGATGAATTTTCGGTAATATATCAAAACAAAAACGATTAATTATTCGATGATCAATTGAACTAATATCATCATTAGTTGACGATCTTGAAATAAAATTGAGAGTATCTGTGAAAATATTATCTCGTAATAGAATGTCAAATTGTTCATCGATAACACCCATTAATAAATACAGTACATTTATGTTATCAAGTTTTTTCAATATCATAAGCAATATCTCATCTGGTAGATCAACAAGATGAATATTTGATTGATTCATGTTTTATTCAAATGAACAATTCTTGTTACACGGAAATATATATATATATATATATATATGTTGTTTGCTTTATAGTTGCTGTCGTCAGTGAACAAAAGAATAATGAATTCTTTGAGAGAAAAGTGTAAAACTGAATCTATCGTCCAGTTTGTTTATGAGGTCATCAATTAAGAATGTACAAGTAAAAATTAAAATTTTTAGATGCAATGACAGATTTGAATTTGCGACAAAATGAACAACGAGCCAATCACAATCATTATAACATATGCTGAAGAACGGTCTTATATCTCTATAGAAGTATAGAGATATAAGAAGCTCAGAATCCACATGAGAAATATTCAAATCGAGGAGGGTGTGTGGGTGTGGGTGTGGGTGTGGGTGGGGGTGGGGTGTGGGTGTGGGGGTGGGTGTGTGTGTGGGGGGGGGGTTGTGGG